GAAACTTGAAATATACTTCCAAGAAATCCTGACCATAGCCCATAGATCTGTTTTAAAAAAACTTTCAGCTGTCATTTCTCCATTTATGAGCTTCAATATTCCTGGTGTTGGTGGTTTCAGAGATGTAACTTCATATAGGGAAGATGAAATTTTCTGCATTGGGCTTTGCCTCTTTAAAGTTAAAGGTCTTCGGGGCAGACAGCCGATTTCCTGGTCTGCATCATCTTCTATCTTGAGCCCTTCATGATCCCGTGGAAGAAACCCCTCTGTTAAACTCTCTGACCAAAGGCAGCTAGGGTTTCAGTACAGACGCCATGGTCTAAGCCCTTAGGAGATGGCAAGGACCCCGAGTTTCTCAGGGATTTGGTTTCTTGTGCACAGATACAACACGGCCGCCCAAGAAGAGTGAGGAAGATGGGAAGGAGTACCACTTCATCTCCACAGAGGAGATGACGAGGAGCATCTCTGCCAACGAGTTCTTGGAGTTTGGCAGCTACCAGGGCAACATGTTTGGCACCAAATTTGAAACAGTGCACCAGATTCATAAGGAGGACAAGATTGCCATCCTTGACATTGAGCCCCAGGTGGGTAGGCGTGGAAAGGCAGAAGTGGATAGGGAAGGGGTGCTCAGGTTGGCTTCATATCCTTTCAGTGGGGCCACCTGGAACAAGAACAGGAGCACTGGAAACTGGAAATAGTATTGGGCTTGGTGAAGACCTAAGATGCTTATTAGAAGGAATCCAGCATGACAGCTAACTCTGTTTTTTTTTCCTATTTTCTTCTTCCTGCCTCCCTTCCTTTTTTTCTAGACCCTAAAGATTGTTCGGACGGCAGAACTTTCACCTTTCATTGTGTTTATTGCACCGACTGACCAGAGCACTCAGGTGGGAAGGAGGGGTTCATGCAGGGTGGGTGGGGGTTCACTCTCCTGGCCTGTCCAGACTGGGACATTCATCCAGATCATTGGCTGGAGTGCTGGCTGGAGCTCAGCTTCAGCTTGTGACCAGTTCTCCCATGAGCCTTCTGGCTACCGCTGTCCTTCTTCCTGCAAGACCAAGAAGCCAAAGGGGATGTGCACATTTGCTTCACTCAGCAGACAGTTATTAAACCACTAGTTAGGCCAGTACCCATGCTAGGTAATGGGGACAAAACAAATCAGACACAGTCGTTATTCCAGAAGTGCTCAGGGTTTAGTGGCAGAGATGGACAATTGGACAGATCCTGACATTGGAGCCACGTAGGCTCAAGCGGGGCAAGCAAGGGGAACTGTGAAGGACACAGGTGGCACTGAACCCACACTGGGGTGTGGTATGGCTGTGGGGAGAGAGGGAGAGTAAGGAAGCCAGGAATATATTGAAAAGCCTCCCCCTGCTCCCCACTCCCCACTCCCTCCCCACTCCACACCCACCTTACGTGCACTTTGTTGCACCCTACTTTCTCACTGAACACAACCTTTCCATAACAGTGTGTAGAGAGCTTCTTCAATCTTTCTTAGTAGCTGCGTGGTCTCCCATTGCATGTATGTAGCATAATTATTTAGTTTCACCATTCCCTTCTTGATGGCTGTTTGGGTTGTTATAAAACTTTGACTATTATGAATAATACTGCAGTCAATGGCCCTGTACATATGGCATTTCACGTGTGTGCACATAAACCTGTAGGCTAAATTCCAGACAAGATTGCCAGGTCCAAAGATGCATACGTTGGGAATTGAGAACTCGGAGAGAGATTATGTGGGAGAGTGCCTGCTTCCCTGTGCCAGGAGCACGTGATCCAAAGTTTTGTTTTTGGCCGATCTCAGTATTTTTCTGGTGGGTTATTGGCCTTTTTCTTATTGATTTCTAGGAACTCTGTATTAGGGTAATTAGCCCTTTGTGATATCATTTGCAACTATTTTTTTCCCAGTTTGGCATGTCTTTTGGTGTTTATTGCTATGCAAACATTTTTCCTTTTATGAAGTTAAATTATCATGGCCATTTGGTTTTGGGTCCTAGAAAGAGGCCTGGGGTTCTAAGTTACGCTTATCCTGGTCCTGGGATTGCAGCTCTGGTGGTTGCTGAAATGGCTCTGTGTTCAGAGGCACAAACTGGGAGATGCTGGTGGCATCTTGACGTAGCTGTTGGACTTCCAGAGAGCTCTGATTATTTATAATTGCAGTTAGTTGCAGAGCCTCTGAGAATTGCACTGTTCTTAATTGATTGCCTCTCCACACCCTACTCTAACATTCTCCAGCAAGGTCTTCAGGGTTTGTCGTTAAGCAGGTGATGTGGAGCTGGGCAATGGTCACAGTCAATGTCTGCTTAAAACCTGTCCCTGGCCTCAGGCTGGGCGTGCTGTGGCCTGCTTCATCCATGGCTCTTTCGCTCTTCTTTGCAGACGGAAGCCCTGCAGCAGCTGCAGAAAGACTCTGAGGCCATCCGCAGCCAGTACGCTCACTACTTTGACCTCTCACTGGTCAATAATGGCGTCGATGAAACCCTTAAAAAATTGCAAGAAGCCTTTGACCAGGCGTGCACTTCTCCACAATGGGTGCCCGTCTCCTGGGTTTACTAAGCTTGCAGAATAGGGGAACTACTGTATGCCCCTCTCCAGCATTTGGAACTCTATTCCCTTGCTATATGACAAACAGGGTCGCTCCAGCTAGTTTTGTCAGCTTCCAGATCTCTGCAACTATCCTAATTATGCCAGTGGGTGTCAGTCCTGTTCAAGCTCCTGAAGGGCTGGGCTCACCTTCCTGATACACTGGTTATTTGTCTTTACCTTATCTTGACGAAAGCATTAACTGCAACTCTAAAAGGCCAAAACAAAGCAGCTGTGCAATAGGGTGATGCCTGCTCTAGGGAAACCCTCAAAAGCAATAAAAATGCTGTGTTAAAACGCCTGTGACTTTGTAACCAAGTTCTTATCTGCACCACAAGCCTCTGGAAAGGGAAATGTCGCCTGATGGATTTAAGCTCCTGGAGGACGGGCATCAACACCAGATGCCTCTCCTGGGTTCCTAAGTCTCCCTCAAGCCCATAACAATCTTAAGAGTCGAGGTCAGAATAACCCAACTTCCCGTGTGTGTGTCTGTCTGTGTGCCAGGTGGGGCACGATCCAGTGCATTATGAGTCTGTGCACACGTACACACTTCTGTGCAACATATCAAAATACTTTGAGTGCAAAGGGATTGTCCAGTTTCTGCTCCATAGGAAGACTGCCCTGAACTCATCTTTGCTTTCACTTGGCATTGGCCTTGGTTCTGACACGCCTACCAAATATTTCCGTTTTTCCTAACAAACAGCCACTCTTTTTAACTTACCCTTTATTCTCAAGACATGGTTTTTATAGCACCCACGACTGGCTGCTCAGATTAAACCAATGTGTCCAGAAGTCAGTACTCCGCTTCTCTGTTCACACAGCTGAGTCTCACATCAGCCCTGAAGAGCTAAGATACAGCTGCTAGGATTATAAACACCTGTGCCCTTGAAAATGCCCACTGCAGGTCTCCTGAGGCTGGTGCCCACATACAAAAGCAGATTGTCTTATCCTGGAATGGGAACCCATCACAAGCATACATTTAGCTTCCTGCTAAAACTTGGAGGGGGTTGGGGCATGGAACCCAGCCTCTGGGCCCAGCTGTGCAGCCTATGCTCAGGATCCCAGACAACAGAGGCTGCTAATGAGCCAGCACTGGGGTGCACTCTGCATACCTGCTAAGGCCTCTGCTGCATCTGGAGACTCCTCCATAAACTGCTCCTAATATTGTTTTTGGTACCAAATTGGAAGCAATCCTAGACCTTTCTAACCAAGGCCTTCAGATTCCTGAACCATCCCCTGCTCCCCCTGCCAAGCTTCAGTCTCACCAGTCACCTAGCCAGCAGCACAAGCAAAAGCCTCAGTGGGCTCCCACCACTGAGTGTGAGCCAATCCATATCTGTAGATAGTTGAAGGCCTGTCAAGACCTGGCTCTTGTGTGCTTCCTGAGGATTCTTCCAGGCATTTCCCCTCTCCCCCAGACACCCTCACTGGCACCTCCTGCTAGGCCTACTTATACCTTTATCCTCAATTATTTTGGAGACCACTGACTTTATGATGATTCCCTCCCTTGTTATCTGGTCCGTATCTTGAATGAAGATTCCAGAATATTTGATGCCATGCTAGACAGGCCCCAAGGTGAATGTTGCAAGACAGAGAACCAAAGAAAACCAACCAAACACAAAGGAAAAACATCAAATTTTGAATAGGACAAAGGCCCCTAGATTTTTAATCAAAATATTTTATGTTTTTTGTTCTACTAGTTTGAGATCACCAACAATTATAAAACCCAACAGAAATACTCAAAAAACTTAAGTAAACTTTAATAAGTAAAAATTACAACCTTCTGCTCCTAGCAATGAATATTGCATCCTTTGAAAGAAAATGAGGGTTAGAATAAGAGAACACAGGAACAGCTTTTTGGCTTCTGTCACAAACACAAGTAGCCAGATGGATTTAGGTGCTTGAATAAGTGCACAATGGACTACTGGGTCAGAGGACTGCAAGTAGGTGACAAGATGGAACACCGTGAGTCCTTGCCAGGCCTAGATCCAGAAGGGAAATACGTGGTGACAGAGGTGGCTCTGACACCAGAATAGACCACTGTCCTCACAGGACATTGTGAACATGATTCTGTTATATTTTTACTTGCTGTACACCAGTCCACTGAGCACATTTAACTTGTACAAACTTTTTAAATGGGGGGGAGCAACCTAGGAGAGGACTATGATGTCAAAATGGCCACCAGGGAACAGTTGCTGATGGTTACTTGGTAGTGCTGGGTCTAAAGGTGAGGCTTCCCAAATCTCCCAAATAGAGAAGTGGGTGGCGTCAAACCTGCCTCCTTCACCCATATCCTTAAAACAGGACAAGATGGGATGACCAAACCAGGTAACGTCACCGAGGTCTCAGCAGCTAAGATGTGCTGGAACTCTCCACCCTTTCTGGGACCTATGTTCCATTCCCTCAAGAACAAAAGGAACTATGTTTTCTCAGTAAGGCTTTAATTTCTCCTCCCAGCTGGACACAGTGCTTAAAGTAGTCTCCACTACTCAGAAACCATTTCCACTTTTATTTTCTTCTTCTTCTTCTTCTTTTTGGTGGTGTCACTGTCCTGGGAGAAAGAAAAAGCAAGCTCACAACATCTGTTAACAGAACTGTTGCCACTGTCCTGAAAGGAAATCAGGGAAGTTCCACCCAGTCAAGTGAGCCTTTTCAGGATCTGTAAGGATATTCTGGGTTAAAGAAATTTTACACATTAACACAAAGTCCTGAGCTTTTCAGTGCTGCCACAGTGGTCTACTTTCACAAATGGGAGCATTCAGATTCCTCAGGTAAGACATCCTCCCCACCCACCATCAACAGAATTCTATGAGCAACTACCATAAAATGACAAGGCCTGTCTCTGTCCATCCCACAAGGGTGGGGGAGGGCAAAGGCACTCCAGGAACATGGGGCAGCGCCACCTGGGCAACTCCTTCCCCTCCAAAGACTGAGTGAGCCCAAGTATCCTGAACGTGCTTATACACACCCCGTCTCCCGGCTCGCCTGCACTCTCTAGAGCAGCTTTGGCCTTCTTGTCCTTCTTCTTCTTCTTTTCCTTCTTGATCAACTGTGGAGCCACTGGAGAGGTCTCATCACTTTCACTCTCTCGCTTCCGCTAAGACGGAGACAATTGATCAAATGTTAGGTCTTCAGCAAAAATGGATGAGAAAGGTTCAGTAAGTCAAAAGGTGGGGAGCCATCTGAAAAGATCCTGACTGGATCCAACAGGAAGTTTTCTAATTACGAACCCTGACAGGGCCTTAGTTTACAGAGGATTTGAAGATGATCTCATCCCAAAAGACCAGGAAAGCCATGGGCACGGCAGGAGAAGCAAAGCAGCGGTGCAGGGCCCAGGGACTGAAAGGCCCCAAGCAATCCGTTTCTCTCCTGGCCTACCCTCTCTTGTACAACAATTTAGACTGCTTGCCCTCTAGGAATGCTCCCAAGCCCTCAAAGAAGGCAGGCAAGACAAGAATTCACATCTAAGAGGCCCAAAGCAGGCCAGGAGAAGCTCTTCCCAGACCGCTCGTTTCAGGTCACTCAGTGCCACCCAAAGTTTCAGACATGCCATTCTGTGCTCTAATGCTAGCAGTCACCAGCCTTTGGAAGCAGAGCTGCTACCACATGCTTTCCTCAGACTTTTTTTTTTTTTTGGTGAGGAAGATTGGCCGTGAGCTAACATCTGTTACCAATCCTCCTCTTTTTCGCTTGAGAAAGATTATCCCTGAGCTAACACCTGTGCCAATCCTCCTCTACTTTGTATGTAGGACCCTGCCACAGCATGGCTTGCCAAGTGGTATGTAGGTCTGCGCCCAGGATCTGAAGCAGCGAACCCTGGTTCGCTGGGCTGCTGGGTTGCTGAAGTGGAGCATGCCAAACTCAACCACACCACTGGACCGGCCCCTCCTCAGACTTCTGAAACACTGAGCTCATGCTCTCTAGAGAAGTTTGTCGGCCTCAGCTAATTTTGCTCCCTGCTGAGTTTTGTTCTGCTCTGAGTGTCATAGCCTCTGATTTCAAAGCATGCCTGCCACCAATTGACCCAGAGTGGGGGCCAGAATAACGTGCAGTACACCCCCACCACTCTGCTCCAGTGTTGTTGCCTCAGCTGAGGTGGGAGCCAAGCCCACGTTCCTCCCAGCAGACACGACAGGGAAAGTGATTTGGAGCCTGCAGAGGCCTAACAAGTATGCCCAGGGTAGGACACGACGTCATCTCTGTGTGCACTGCCCACTGTGGGGGCAGGAAGCCCTGCTGTACTGCACAGTCACCAAGATAAGCCAAGCAAAATCATCTCCTGAAGCACATTCTGAAATGATCACAGTACGCCACTCACCTTTGGGGCTTTCACTGCTTCGGCAACTACCTTTGGGGTTTTTACCACCTCAGCAACTACCTGTGGGGCTTTTATGGATTCGGCAACTGCCTGTGGGGCTTTTACTGCTTTGGCCACCACCTCTGTCTTTGCAGAATCACTAAAGAGGAGAGGAAGCAATAGATCAGATTCATTGAACAGCTTTCCATGGAGATACTGCTGCCTCCTCAGTTTATTGGTGCTATCTGTCAAGTCTTAAAGCCACCATCAAAATACTGACGCTGGACAGAAGAACTCACCACTTGCTGTCGCAGACTGACTCCCTCTAGAGTCCCATGAGCCAGACTAGAAAGGGATAACTGTCTGCTATGCAGGCCCCAGCCCCTAACTGGCCCAGGCAGTCAAGGTGAAGTACCCACTGCTACCCTACAGCCCCCAAGGCCTCTCAAGCCACCACATAGGTTCCTATGGTCCCACATTTAGCAAGTTTCCCCCAAACTAAATCTGTCCCCTCTCCACACCCAGGCTCTATACCCTCCCACCCTGATTGAAGTCGACATCCTCACCTGTAGTCAACATACTCCTGCATCCAGGCGACAGGCGTGCTCTCTGTGGGCTTGCCGTGCTTGTCGAGAAGGCCCTGCTTGATCATCAGCCTCTTCTGACTCGCCTGGTGGAGCATCAGGGTTTCAACATCAGAACAGTGTCAACACATGAAGCAGGTATTATGAGTGCACACATACAACAGGAGCAAATACGGGACTTGTCAAAAGTCACAAAGCTTATTGTATTAGTGACAGCCTCTGCATTTTGTGGCACACCTCCCCCTCCACTCTTTGGCCACAGGGCCTTTGCACATGCTGTTTCAGCTGCCCTGGACTCTTCCCTCCCCTCTTTACCTCATCAACATCTAACGTTACGTCCTTCACACTGGCATAGCTCAAGCCTTACCCAGATCCCCTGACCACGTCAAGCCCTTTGTTGTGGACTCTCAAGGTGACAGGCACCTCTCTGCACTCCTTGATAAGCCCTCAATTTGGCTGAAATTCACCATTCCATTGTGCAACTTGAGTTATACCCATGTGCTTCCCATCGTTAGACTGAAATCTGATCTGAGACGGGCCCATTTCTACTCACCCTTGACTCTCTAGAGCCCAGCACAAGGCAAGGCTGTGACAGCAGGGACACACACCCAGTCCCACTTACCTTTGGACCTAAACCCCACTTCCTAGGGTAAGTGTCTCTCTCCATGATCACTCTCTTGATCTTGGCTACTATACCATGGTCGCAGGTAGAAATCACCGCTGTGGTCATTAATGCAATAGCTGCAGGCATTGAGAAGAGAAAAAAGAATTATCTGAAGGGGAAAGACTTGATAACTGATGAGCCTGAATTCCACTGTTTTATACAACGTTTTAAAACCCATTTAAAACTCTAAGCTCCACTACCTTGAGGTTTCCTTCGCTTTTGAAATGTTAAATTTATTAAGTTAAAAAAAATACTGATACTAATCACACTAATAAAAATCAATGCTTCTTAGGTCCTTAGAAAACCTCTAAGTAAATCAGAGCTATTCATTAAATGTGCCAAATCTGCACCAGAAATTAATGTCATCAAGATCCCTTTCCTCGGCTGTGAGCAGGAAAGACAGCCATGGAGGGCTCCTCATCCACAGACAGCAGCCAGATGGGAAGGGAACGCCTCAACAAGGCACCCTAAAGAGCCACCTATTAGGCTTGGGGCTCAGGCCACACACAGGGAACAGCATGCACAGCCCCTTCGGGGCCATGAAATGTGAAGTTTTAAGGGACAATCCAATAGTAGCTAAAGTTTCACAAGTTCACTGCTGTAAGCAGACAAGGAGGGGACTAAAGGCTCTCCATCTCGCTTGCCATGGACATTTATTCACCTTCACTGATGAGTTCCTCTCTTCTCAGGGGAGGGCCAAGCTGCTGAAACACGGCCTCTAATCGTAGCCAGTGGGACAAAGGGAAACCCCACTTACCTCCTTGCCTGTGCCTGTCTGACATGGCCCTTTGCTGTGACCACCTCCAAAAGACCCCAGGTAACACACTGATTAGTCCACCTGAGGGGCCGGGACTTTGGGGACTTGCTCTTGGTAAGCGTGGATGTGATGGTGCAGAAGGGACGAGGGTGACTTCTCCTCTTACCCATGCAGATTGCTTCCCCTTTCGTGGTGATGACCACGATCTCCTGATTGACTTCAATGCCATCCTCATATCGGAGAACACCTGGAAGCATGATCTTCGCCCCATAGCAGATTGCATTCACCTGCAGGGATGGCATCACCCATGAGAGCCCACGCCACTGCCTTCCATCCCATACCACTGCCCTCCATCGCACGCCCACACCAAAACAAAGGAGGACCACGGGGAGCGGCGCCTGTGAGCGCCCTCCCACCTATGAAATCCCATTTATGAAGGGACTCAGCATAATAGCCACCAACAACTGTGTGCTAGGCGCTTTATACGTTGTCTCAGAAATGTTAAAGAGGACTTTAAATAGCTACTCTCCCTATGTCCGTGGGACTTAAAGGTGTTTTCATCATAAGCCAAAACGCAGCCTTAGTTTTCCTTAATTTCCTTCTCTATTCCTTATCACTAAGGGAAAAACCCTGAGAAAACTAGGAGACCTATTAGATTTATTGGGCCCCCAAAGTTACTCGCAGGCAAGATTACTGAGGCCTGCTGAACCAATCACACACAGGTTTTGGCATATATTTTATAGGCCATTAGGTACAAGTTAAGGCCACCTCTTCCTGAGTTCAACAGCACTCAACACATCCATCTGCCTTGTGTCATCATGTATTTACTCACTGAGATCTCCTTTGCTAACCATATTCTACCCTCCCCTGAAATTCACCCAGAAGCCACCAGTTTAACCCCAGCATTAAGGAGGGTATATCACATTTATGTTGTTCTGTGATTTTTTCTAATCATTATAGTGGCATATTTTACAGTATCTCTTTTTGTCTTTTATTAAGAACTATAACATACAAAAGATGCAAACATCTATATAAGATTTGAATATGAATAATGATCAACCTCAAATTATTAAAAAGATATACAGAAATGTATAACTCTCAAAACGGGAAATTTTTTATTACTACATAATATTTAACAAAAACTGATTATGCACTTGGCCACAATTACAGCCTTAATTTATAAAATGCTGCACTGTCTGATCATAATACTATTAGAAATAAAGCTATTTACAAAATTCTGGACTACTTGGAAACTCATCCTTAAATCACTACTAGAGAGGAAATCCAGACTGACACCATTACTTGTATCATTAAGACAACTACTCTCAATAATAAGGTTATTTAGTAAATATGCTAAGAAAAAAGGCTCGATGAGCTCAGTGATGTTTAGGTTTTATAGCCTCAAACTAGGATTTAAACAGGACAAAACTTTTTATTGAAATTCCTAAAACAAAAATAACCTCTCTGAAACTGTCGTCTCAACTTTTTATCCCTATCAAAACAAACTTTTCTACCAATAATTCAAATAAATCAAGGTTTCTCAGGCACACGCAGAAATACCAGGTTACAGGAAGGCAAATTTTATGTACCAGTGATAGTCTATTTCTTGAACCAAGTTCTCTATCGGAGAACTCTTGAAGTAAATGTTTAATTAATTTCCCTTATTTTGAAATGGAATTAGGCCTAGCATTAAACTTTAACTTAGTATATTTGGTTTGGATTTAATAAAAAAAGTTAATCATAAATGCTTCCATTATTAACAATAAAAGAGTCCAGTGTCCAATCTACAAAACTAGAAAAAAAATAAACCCAAAGGAAAATGTAAATTCATGACGTCATGTTTCATATCTTTAAACAGAATGAAGTTTTCAGAACATGGACCATATCTCATCTTTGGAGTCACATCTTGTCCAAATGTGGACTTGAAACCCAGAACTTACTGCACTGTCTTTCATAACCAGCCGCTTATGAGATGTCAACAGCTTCTCCAAAGGGTAAATGACTCTCCGCAGGTAACTCTCATCCTTGTGGTTGTCGTATAGCCACTGGGCATCAAGCACATCATGCATCGTCACCATGTGGTCCTGAAAAGCAGCCATGTTATGAAAATTATTCAGTGTCATTGTATCTCAAATAGCCCAATGGACCCCAAACTTCCAAAAACTTAATGAATTTAGTCTTGTCTGCTAGGCCAAGCTCATTTGTCTTCAGTCTCTTCAGAATCGCCTCTCCTCTGGACACCTTAAACTGTTGATATATTTAAATCTAAGCAGGCATTTTTGTAGGCTTGGAAGTAAATGAATAGAGTAATGCTTTCTATCCAATCATCTCCCCTAGCCCATGTTTCAATGTTCCAAAGTTTAATTAACAGAACAGGGAAGCTGCCCTGAACTGAACTCAACACTTTGGCAGTTGCCTTTTCTAGGATGTGAAGCAGGTGGAGTTCCACCAAAGGCTGGAAGATACTAAGTAGCAGCTCTAAAGCTTCTATCCCCACAATGGCGTACCTTTTCGCTCATGACTCCAGAACGAACCCTCCGAAGTTCCTGCATCTGACCGCCAACTCCCAATAACAAACCAAGGTGCACACACAGCGTCCGAATGTAGGTGCCGGCCTCACAACTCACCCAAAAGATTCCTAAGACACACACAAAAAAGCAGCACATATTTTCCAAAGTAAACATATCACCAGTTGAGAAACCCAGTTATTCTCTGAGCCAGGGAGACTAGAGATGACAGACACAGGCCATGACTATACCATACACTAAGTGCATCTACTTTTAACAACAGAATATAATTCTCAAGAATGGATTCCATGTGTGGTCTATGTCAATTCACTTGCTCACAGGCCTAATGACCCACCTAATCTTCTTTCAGGGTCATACTCAATCATCTTGCTCTCGTAGATGGTCCGCACTCGGAGCTGCCTCTTTACTGCAGCAATAAGTGGGGGGCGCTGGAATAAGGCACCAGTCAGAGTTTCTAGGGCCTGAGAATAAGCACACACGAAAATAAAGACTCTTACTACATGGACTTTCCAATAAGATCAAAGGGAATATTTGGGGAGTTTAAGGACACAAATGAAACACAAAAGGTTTCTTTCAATCATTTAAGACCTAAAATGCCCTTTCGAGTTTCGCTTTCTTCAACTACACTGGGATGGCTCAGTGCTATAGGACCTTCTCCTCAGAGGACATGGCAGCAAGTGCCCCTGCCATCTGCAGTCACCTATCCAGGCTGACTAGGACAGCCCAGTAAAAAGGGCACAAGAGAGGCCAGCCAGGAAAACCGACCTGTCTCCAGATGTCTAGGGGCTCAGAGACTGAAGTCGCTAAAAGGTGACCTCCTTACAAATACAGACTTACCCTAGAAAGTTGAGTCCCCCCTTCAATAGCATTGTGCAGCCGGACAATTCCCACATACTCTTTGCCTGAAAAATGACAGAAGAGTAGTCAGGTGTGGCCACTGAGTTTTCTGTATTTTTCAATGCTCATATCACTCCCATTCTGTGCAGCAGGAAAAAAGCAGGCAATCTGACCTCCTGTTTCTGTAAAATTTGCAATAAGACAGATTTCATGGTGTGGACGTGGGAAAGGAATGAAGACACTTTCTCTCATTGGGAGTTCAACTTTTGATGTGCTGACAGGGACAGCTGGACTACCCAGGGTAGAGCCTGCCTGGAAAAAAACCTTGCTACAGTAAAGAAGGAAAATTTTCCCAGATGAAAATGAGGGAAGGGCACTTTAGGCAGAAGCAGGAGCATGGAGTTAGAAGAGCCTGGAGCTCAGCCTCAGTGCCAGAAACAGATCTAGTCAGCCCAATGTGCACAATCCCAGTACCTGGAACTCCAAGAAAGGCAGACCCACCAGGATCTGGCAGAGGACGGAAGGTATAAACCAAGAGTATCCCTGCTTAGGATTTTTTTTTTTTTAACTAATGAAGAAATCATTTCCAAGAGCCAAAATGTAGAAGGGAAAGTAAATGCAGAAAGTCTTCCAATGTCCAAGTAGCCACCTCTTCCACACACCTGCACTCTGTTGTGATTTCACCAAGCGCGTGGCTCGTTCTATGCACACGATTAAACAGCCTGTCACCTTGGGATCCAGAGTACCACTGTGTCCTGTCTTCTCCACTCGAAGTATTCGTCGGATCCATGCTACCACCTCATGGGAAGAGGGGTTGGAGGGCTTGTCAAGATTAATGAAACCTGTCCTAGAATCGAAAAAAAAAATACTATGCCATCAGTTGTGGTCCTCTAATAAAAACTAAATCTGAAGAATAAAAAAGAAGAGTTTACCATGGGTACAGGTTATATAATAATTAGGGCAATGCCATTCTAAGATGCCACTAGCTCCTTGAATAACCGATGTGAAAGGGTCATTTTGAAAAGAACGTAAGTTTGAACAGTGATTGCTCTAAACACACTTACCTGATGTAGTCCCCAATCTCCCTCTTCAGAGGATTTGAACCACAAGGAAGGGGTGTATAATGTGTTGTCCTTACATTTAGCTTATCAAAATTCTAGAAAGCAATGATACAACACAAAATCAACTTAATAAACCATTAACATACATAAAATAAGAGTCTGCACTACCATCAACCATGATATGGTTACCCTTCAAGTTCATAAACTTGGATTTTGCTCCTATATTTTAATTATCTGCTGTGACAGACTGTTAAGCCTCCTTATATTCAGGAAAAATTACCCATTATGAGTAAGAATAAGACAAATTTGATCACTCCTCTAGAAAGAGACTTCTTGGGGTACTACAGAACAGACTAGGCTTCACTGTGCGGCCTTATGAATAAAATATGGACTAGCTTTGATTTTCTCAGGGACAAGATAACCAAACTGAGGTGGACTGGCAACAATGTTTCTCAAACATGACCAACTTGTTCTTGCTTCAGATGCTCCAATCTGTGCTCCTTTTCATTCTCCTCCTTTCCAAGGCTTGAGGCTGGACACCACTGGTCTGAAAGAGCTCCCCTCAATTGAAGCCCATCTTTTCTATCACCCAGTTTAGTTTCATCATGGTACTTACACACAAATAGCAATTATTTTTTAACTCTCCCATCCCTAGATTTTAAGTTTCACGACAGTAAGGACATTGTCTATTTTGTTCACTAGCATATCCCCAGGGCCTACAATAGAAAAGCAGATGTGGGCCGGCCCCGTGGCTTAGCGGTTAAGTGCGTGCACTCTGCTACTGGCGGCCCGGGTTCGGATCCCGGGCGAGCACCAACGCAACACTTCTCTAGCCATGCTGAGGCCGCGTCCCACATACAGCAACTAGAAGGATGTGCAGCTATGACATACAACCATCTACTGGGGCTTTGGGGGAAAAATAAATAAAATTAAAAAAAAAATAAATAAGTTAAAAAAAAAAAAGAAAAGCAGCTGCTATCTAAATGGCAGACATGTCTGGCCAAGCAGAAACTCAACTGTGCTAAATTATATAAGCAAATCTCATTATTTTACCTCATATCCATTGGTTTATTAAAACACTTTGTCAAGGGGTGTCTCAATAACTTTTTCTACTCTAACTTGTCTTTCTAATCTCATAGCAGGTGCCCATTAAGTCGTTTGCGAAACTTCTAATTCACCTCATTACTGACTACCCTATTTAAAACCCAATCAACAGTCAATAATTTCTAGGGGACATGTTACATGCCAGGCACTGTGGCTAAACACCTTTCATGGATTACCTCCTGCAGCCCTCAGCTTGCCTTCCTAAGAGAAGATATGAGCAAACAGCCTCAAAGAGGTTAAATGACTGCCCAAGGTCACATACTGCCTGACTCAAACTGGTCTGGCTTCAAAGCCCATGCTCTCAAGTATTAAAGCAGTCCTACTCCAAGTGTGGCCCACAAACTGGTACAGGTCTGTGAGGTGGAGTTAGGTACAGAAACCAAGAAATAATTGTTTATGAACTTTGATAGCACTTTGACGTTGCTGCGACATCTTAACTGTATTCTACAACAGTGTTAGATGCATTGAAAAAGAAAAAAAAAATAACCTGGTCCTTCATCCCAGACACCTTGACGAACACTGCTTTAGACTGTATCATATAGTATTTCCTAAGTCAACAATGCTGGCATTAAGCACTCTTAACTATTTAACACTTAGACATAATGTAAAAGCCAGGCACTGACCTGATGCATAATCTTAACCACATACCTTTAGCAACAGGGGCCACTGAGATGTGTCCAATTGAGCCACTTTGGATTCAGGTTTGATAAGAAATTCTTCAGCATGCTGTATTTCCTTGCACAGGACAAAAATACACCCTATTAGACTTCCCATCTGATTTTGAACAATTCCATTACTACCACAGAAGTCTATGCCTTTAAAACAGAAAACAAAGTAGTCTATGCTTCTTCCCTGGAACCTCCATGGGAAAGAGAAGAAATGAACTAGGATCTTAGAATGGTAAGTGAAGTACCACCAAGATAGGTACTGCTATTTAAAGAGCAAGAGGGATGGTGGGTCTACAGGTGAGAGAGCAAACTACACCTGACCGGACAGACTCTAAGTTGGCTGGGGTTGTGTAGTTTCTACACAACAACCAACCAATTCCAGCCCATTCCTTAGAAACCTTTAAAAGCAGTTCTTTTCTGTAATTTGTTATCTAAGGAACATTTTTTAGTCCAAGCAAAGTAAAACGTATTCCTACTCACTGCTACATCTTCTTCTGGTAACGACTTCCGCTCCTTTTTCTTCTTATGCTTTTTCGGCAAAATAAATACTAAAAAAACACAAGATTTGGAAGTTTTCCCCGAAAATAAAGGCAACAAAGTTTAAATTAGAAAATGAAATCAGGGCAGGTAGAAAATGGATGTTTGGTCTAGAATTACTGGAGAAAACAAAGTGTGTAAGACCAAACGCGTGGGTTACATGGCTCGGTTAGCTACTGCAAGCAGTCGCACGTGTCGGCTTCCATTCCGGTTCACCACGTGGCTCTGGCGGGGCTTAAACGTGCTGCAGAAGCGCTCGAGCCGTGGGCCAGAAAGTTCCATAAATGAGTGCTCAACTATCCCCCAGAGCTTTTGGCGTCTAGAACTTGCTTACGACTCAGAGCTACACCCGCGCCCCTCGCCCCTTTTTTTCCCGCCCGTTCCCACCATTCTTTCCTCCCCTCATCGCCTGGCGCTGACTGCGGCGTCCGGGCTGGCGGCGGCGGCACAGATACTACCAGGTCTCCCGCCACCGCAAGGTCGCCGGCACGGCCGACGCCTTTCGACGACGACCAGGGCCCTAAAGGGGCTGTGCCATCCGCGGGAGATCCCGGCCTCGCGGCGCCACTTCACCGCCAGGGCTTCTCGCTCTCTTGCCCTCCCCCGTGGAGCCAGGGCCAAGAGGCAAGGGCGGCAAGAGGCCCAGCGGCGAGGGGGTCGGCCCGGCGGCTGGAGCTAGCGGAGAGCTCGGGACCCGACGCCATCCCCCACCACTCCCGGCTCTCTCAGCCTGCGGAGCTGGTTCCAGCCCGGGGCACTTGACCCGGCCACCCGCGAGGGAACGACCCTTACCTTCCGTGTCCGCCATGTTGCCCCGCAGAGCGAGCCAGCCGCGTGGGCCACGGCCGAGAGAGCGACCACAG